GCAGACAAATAAACTAGGGCTTGATATTACTATTTGCTGGTGTGCTATCGCATGCGCGACGTGGGCATATAGGGCGCATGAATAAATCGAGATCTTATGAGCCAACCAGACATCATTGTAATCAAGCCTCTTATTATATCACGATGGTTCAGCATTGCACTTAGCCCACATACTCATCCTATCAAGTAGATAGATTTATGTCCTCATTAATCTTCGGGATGTTAGCAGCTTTGTTAATCTCGCTATGAATTTCAGGATCTCTACTATTGGTTAACGTGCCGATAAAAGTGGAAAATTTACGTAAAGATGAATGCATGCCCTCACAACAAATAAATACTATATTTTCATCATTACTCTCATCGATAGCCCCATTGTAATTGCAATATGCAAAAGGCCTGGCTTACCGTGAATGCTACTTCTGTGCCAGTGGAGGCTTGAAGTAATTATATATGTCATATAGAGACGGGGCAGTTAGCTCAGATAATGGGCGAAAGTTCAGTAAGCTTACAATTTAACTGAAGGAGACTTTCGTGAGGAATTCATCAGCTTTAACATCCCGACATAATCAAGCAGCAAAACAATGGGAATTCATCGTATTCGTATGGTGAGATGGAACACCGAATAACAAATTTACACATAAAATGGACGTCAGCTCAGCAATAAAATAATGCACATCAAAAAGGCCACAAGAAAAGCATTTTCTTTGAGTAAATTAAATTGAAGTGTGAGGCTAGCTAAGGAAATAGGGTAAAGAATAATAATTACTTAATACAAGGCAAAAATGAATCTCGAAATCTACTGACTGTTATTGAGAATGATTTGAGTTAAGTATAAGGGAACAAAAATAAAAGGAATACTGAGATGGCATCGATGGATATCTACTAGCTTTTCATATCTGAAAGACATAGTAATAATGATTTAAACACAACTCAACGAACCTTCGGGACTTCCTTTAGAGGAGGATCCAGACAAAATGTATGATAGCTGATGTCACAGCCATCACAAAGGAGCAGAAGATTTTCATCAGTCATCTCCCCACATCCCTCGCAGACGGTGCAGTCAAGACATCGCCAACCTTTCTCAACCATCGTTCGGGTGACCTTGGGTACATCAGCGCAATAAGGATGATAGCATTGACCGCATTGGGCACAGGAAAGCAATGCATTGTCCTGACCAAATGAGCCACAAGCTACACACATATCTTGCTCTAACACGAAAGCGTCATCGACTCGACAAATAACGACGGTGCTTGGGTGATCATCCTTCTCTTCAATCTGCTTGGATTCATACTAAAGAAGAAAAATTATGAAACTGAGCAAGAGGCCAGATAGACGAAAAAGAGAAGATGTTTTAAACGGATAAGAGTGGAGTAAAGATGTTTGATGGAAAAAGAATTTTAACGCCGAAAAAAAGAACTAACAGGTTTAATCCAACGGGGAACTTGATAAGATTTTGATTAAGAATCAAAATTATGTAAGACTGAAATATTTGAAGCGACTACCTTGACAACCCAATACACGCGATTTGTAATCCGTCGCACTATTCTTGTCTAAGAAGGGATGAAGGGACAAATAAATCCAGTATGCTTCGATTAAGACTGAGTGAATAAATAGGTTTCAATTAAAATTTACATATAAATGAAAACAATTTAGGTCAAACGATTTCAAATAGGCTGGAAGATTAACATGAAGAATAAATGTAACGAAAATAAACGATAAATTTGATGGAAATATACATAGAGATACATATGAAAGAGTGGATGTAGTAAATGCGGATAAAACAATGAGGGAATATGAAGTTTCGTATATAAAAAATTAATTGTCTAGGTGCCAAATTAACAAAATAACTATTCAGTGATAAGCACTTAAATAGACCCCTATTGATGGAGCATTAAAACAGAAATGGTGGTGTTGATGTAACTAAGATGGGAAATTTCACTAAGGTTATAAAAAAGCTGTGGATTATCAACGTACCCCTAATATATATATATATATATATATAGTATAATAATTTTTTAATCAAATAAAACTAAATAACTTTTAAATTTTACCTAATTTTTACCTGCGCAAATAAGGAATCAAGATAATGAAGAAGGTTAAGTATTTTTCGTTTTGTAATAAGGATTTAGAGACTCCCAAAAAGCCAGAGTAACGAAGTGTGTTCAGCTTATTTTATTAAAGATGAAATACTGATAAATGAATTTTCCCATAATGATAAGCAGATATTAGGCTTACACTGATTTTTATATAGCCTTTCTCCCCTAAAGATATCCTAATCCAAAATGGATTTCAGTTTTGACCTCGTCTAACTCTTATCAACACCCCCAGCGAGATTCGAACCACGACTGCAGCGTATAATCTCGACGCATTGACCATAACGCCATATCTTCATGAGTACTCTAGGAATGTTGATAATACCTAGGTAAGTTCGAAACTACAGTCCACTGTGGATGAGAATACATTTTATGAAGGAAGGCTATATTAAATCCAATAGAAGCGTAAGGTCTATACAATCATTGTTGGACAATTGAACCACTAGTCCTTCATCACTTTAAATGAAGTAGGATGAACACATCTCATTAGTCTGATTTATTCGTAGTATCGAATCCCTACTTGTAAAACGAAATATAAGTAATGAAGGTATGACGACCAAGATGGTGTGGCCTTTTGTGTGGTCGCAGTCTCCTTTCGTTGTATAGAAGTTGTTTAACCATGTTTTTGCAAGTCTTGTCTCTTTGACGAGTAGCTGTGTGGTGCTTAGGATGGCGATACTCACTGACGATGCCGACTACGA